CTTGATACTGTAAATAGACAGGTAGCCTCCTGATTCAGTTTTTCTGGAACAGGTTTATCTATCCTAATTTAGACTGCACAAATTTCTAGACTGAAATTTTATATCTAGTGGTGAAATTATGAAATTTTACATTGCACAGCGAAATTGCGACACTTTTCATCCTTTTGGTGCTGAAGTTCTGATATGCTTCTCCATTCGTTACTTTGGTTTTAAAATCTCTTCGTTCTGTTTCTTTAGGGACAATAGCTTGATGCTTTTGGGACTCTTAAAGTGTCTGATACTAATTCCTTTTTAAAAAGGGTGTCTTGTAGTAATTGAGGGCCAAACTTTTTCTTTTTGTTGGATTTGATGCATTTATATTGACTGCATCAGTAAAACACATTTGGTTTAGCTCATGTGTCAAGACTGATGGCTCACTCTATCTCTCTCTTCTTTTTTTCCTTCTCTGTATATCCCCTTTTATATATTTGTCTAATTTTGCAGGTATTGGATTTTGACTTTGAGAAATTTTGCTCGGTCTCTCTCACAAATTTAAATGTGTATGCATGTTTAGTTTGTGGGAAGTATTTCCAAGGAAGGGGCCCTAAATCCCATGCATATACACACAGTCTTGAAGCAGGGCACCATGTGTATATCAATTTACGAACAGAGAAAGTTTATTGTCTTCCTGATGGATATGAAGTCATAGATCCATCGCTTGATGACATTATACACGTGCTGAATCCAAGGTTTGGCACAACTTACTCTGGACTGCCGCCATTTATTTGTTCGCCTTGCTTTGTGTAGTTATATTTCCCCTGTATCTATTAGCTGGTAATCCTTTCTTTGAAAAGATTACTGTGATTCACCATGTTTGTTTGCTTGGTATTTATTTGACAGATTTAACGGGGAGCAGGTTGAACAACTCGATAAGAGCCGACAATGGTCTAGGGCACTTGATGGGTCTGATTATCTTCCTGGAACGGTAATAAACTTCTTTATGCTGCATTTATTTGTTTAGTATATGAGTGTTCAAGTTACTATGTCTCTTTTAGTCTAGATGCTAATCTTTTGGTGCTGGGGCATACGTTAGGTTGGGCTGAATAACATCAAGGAGACTGATTTTGTCAATGTTACGATTCAGTCTTTGATGCGAGTAACTCCTTTGAGAAACTTCTTTCTTATCCCTGAAAATTATCAACACAGTAGATCTCCTCTTGTTCATCGATTTGGAGAGCTCACCCGAAAGATTTGGCATGCACGGAACTTTAAGGGACAGGTGCATACCAGCATTGGTGAATTCCGCTTTGTCTGTTCTTCATGGTCTTCTTATTTTAACTAATGTTTGTGCAGGTGAGTCCGCATGAGTTCTTGCAAGCAGTTATGAAAGCTAGTAAAAAACGTTTTCGGATAGGTGCACAGTCTGACCCTGTTGAATTTATGTCATGGCTTCTGAATACCCTTCACGCCGAGCTTAGAACTTCCAAAAAAGGCAGTAGCATAATCCACCGGTGCTTTCAGGTTTGCTGCAACAGATAACTGTCTTCAACATTTTCAAATATACTTGTCGATTATTATGGTAATATGTGAAACTTCTTGTATAGGGGGAATTGGAGGTTGTGAAAGAGATGCATAGTAGACCTATTGCAGAAAAGAGGGAGAATGGGGATGCCCCGAATAATGGCAATGGGGAAGATGGTCAACATGGATCTCACAATATTGCCATGGAAAGTAGCAGAATGCCTTTCTTAATGCTTGGACTCGATTTGCCACCCCCACCTCTTTTTAAAGATGTCATGGAAAAGAATATTATTCCTCAGGTTTGTTTTTTCAAGTTTAAAATTTTTATTGTGATTATCATTGGAAATGTTTTGCCTTTTTTCTTGTTTTTTTTTTCCTCCTCGAGGATTCGTGGAGAATGGTGGTCATCATATTTGACTTTTTTCATCCCCTTTACCTGGCCATTTTGAATGTATTATTGTTCTAATACGTTATGCGCATGCAGAAATGCAAGTGTCTAGATGTCAGCTAGAAAATGTGAAAGTGCGACTCTTTGAGAAATATTTTTGCACTTGAAAAAAAGTTCTCCAAGTTCGTTTATCGAGTGTTGTAGAGTTTAAATGGATATTTGAGTGATCTGAGGTGAATGAAATTTTATGTAGATGTGCTAAAATTTTGGGTTAACTACAGAGAGTTTCCTTTCTAGTTGGTTAAAGCTCAAGACTTTCTCTGTAGTTTAAATAAGGAGAAGCGCCTCTCTTCTAGTTTAGATAGTTCATTCACTTGATATTAGTTACTACTACAATTTAGAATGATATCTGCAAGTACAACTATTTTACCAATGTTATTCTCACGATGCAGTTATCTTCATGCAATAAATCATTGGCCGTTACACAAATGTAGGGTTCTTGTAACTATAGCCGTGTTATCCTGGCCCTATTGTGATCTTTGCTCTACTGACTAATTTTTCGTCAATTTAATATCTTGATTGTTCTGGATGTTGGTCTTGTGTGTTGGGGGAGGGAGGACACACTAAGAAAGAGAGGTAGAGTATGAGAGCAAAGAAATGAAATGAGAGGAGGTAAGGACTGGGAAAACAGAAAATGAAGTGTATGGGAAAAAAGGGAGTAAATAGAAGAATTAAGGAAATGATTTCTCCCTCTCAACTCCCACCAAGGGAATAGCAGGTGACAAAATATTCAGGGCATCATACAATTTTTGTTCAAATTTAATGCCCTTCACTTAGTCTGTGTCAACAAGGGAGGTATTTGTCATTCTTTGAATTGGAGGTGGGATCTCTTGAATTTTATTAACTTGAGGGGAATATGCTTGTTGGTGATACAGTTTGATAATTACGGTGTAGATGCCTATTTGCACACATTCATGATCTATTTCTGCTCTCTTTTGATGGTTGTTTTTTCATCTTTTTAGCTTCGCAAAGTAGATAAGAGGCTATTAATCCATCGATTTCTATTCAATGTGTCTAACAAGTTCTTCAAACTTAATGAAACACCTGCTTTTGAACTTTGTCTAATATGGTTCACGAAATTTGGAAACTTTAATCTCTTGAGTGTTGACCTCATTATCTACATCCTTTTACCATATGATGCATCTCAAGTTTGTACTTAATTGATTTTTGTAAATGCAGGTACCATTATTCAACATACTTAAGAAGTTTGACGGTGAGACTGTGACTGAAGTTGTAAGGCCTCGTATAGCGAGGATGAGATACCGTGTAACAAAATTGCCGCAGTATCTAATTCTCCACATGCGAAGGTTTACAAAGAACAATTTCTTTATGGAGAAAAATCCGACGCTTGGTGAGTACTCATATTGATATTATCCTTGAATTGAATGAAATTACCAAAACATCCAACTCATAGTGAATGTAGAAGCCTTGTCAATTCTACAGCTTTGTCAGTAATATCCCCTTCTCCAAGGGATTTAAAAGCTTCGTCAGTACTCCTGCTAGCTCGCCAGTACCTCTTCTCCCACACAGCTTCCCCCACCCAAAAGAAGGAAATTTGGTAATAGGGAAACAATAATTCCAGAATTAAAGGAAGAAGAAGACTGCCTAAGTTGCCTATCATATTAAAAGTTCATTTCTCCAAAAATGTCGTGGGAATATACTAGTCCATTTTTGTGAAATATCTGTGGTTTTTCACTCATACTGTCCAATTCTCATCCCTCAAATTGGTATTTTTGGTTGGACATGATACCAAGCTGTTCTATTCAAGCCCTGGTTCTGCTACCCATCAGCATATACTAGACCTTACTGTAGATTAGGATGTCGCTTAGCCTCTTTTACACTTTGAATATCAGTAAATAGTAAATACTTCTTTTGAGGGGTGGGTGGCAGGGAGGAGCAAGGGGTTTGAAGTTCTAGCTTTTGTTAGTTTGAAGCTTTGGTTTATATTGCTTGTTAGAATTGTTCTTTCTGATTCCAAATTCTCCACATACGGGCGTTTAAGGAAGGGGGATGGGGAGACGAGGGATGAGGGGTTTAGTGTTCTAGGTTTACTTTCTGCTGGATCAGTGGTGTGTAATTTCTTTTTTCTGATCAAAATATCTTTTATTCTGCTTGTTAGAGAGTCCACTTGCACTACACGTTCTCCACACAGGAGAAAGCAGCTAGGGAGCAGGGAGAGGGCGGTGTGGAGGAGGAAAGAAACAAAAAACTAGATAATGCAAAAAAGTTCTAAACCTCGAGTATTTATAGTTAAGACTTTGGAACTGCACTGTTAGGCTTCTATTTCGTAACTTATGACGCTTGATGCATCTTTTTTCAGTTAACTTCCCGGTGAAGAATCTAGAGCTCAAGGATTATATTCCTCTGCCAGCACCAAAGGAGAATGAGAAGCTTCGCTCAAAGTATGATTTGATTGCTAATATTGTTCATGATGGTAAGCCAGGTGAAGGATCCTACAGGGTGTTTGTCCAACGAAAATCAGAAGAACTTTGGTTAGTTACACAGCTCATATCAAAAGAAAAGAGATGCAAGTATTACATGATAACCTTTGGAAAAGAAAAGAGGGAATGGTTGATTTTATTACTTGATAACCTAATGCTTTTAATTGACGCAGGTATGAGATGCAAGACCTACATGTTTCTGAAACTCTTCCCCAAATGGTTGCACTTTCTGAGACTTATATGCAGATATATGAGCAGCATCAGCAGTGATGAAACTGACAAGTAACATTGGAAACACAAACCATTTCCTTCTCTTCTCTTCCTTTTGAAATACCAAATTCAACTATTAGATCACTGTTGAAGAGTAGTACTGCACTTGTTGAGGGATAGTGAATGTGCGGTTTACTTGTTCGTTGCTATCGGTAAATCTCTGCTGGTTTTATATTGTCCAGGCTTATCATTACTATTCATGCAGTTCTGTGGAGTCAAGCTGTGGAAGTGTCCTCTTAGTTCTTTCTTTTCAGATGGGTTTGTTATGTGGTAGGTTCTTGAATTCGGAAGATGTTGCCTTAATCTTCGTTTTCTGGACGTAGTAATAGTGGCTAAGAAATGAGTGGAATCCATTGGACAATTAAACCTATGTTATTTTGAATTCCACTGGATTAAATTATTACCAAATTAAGTAAAATGTCATGTCAAAAGGATTTACAACCTTAGTTTACCCTTTGACTGGATTTTCTCTAGTTCCTTCGACACTTGCTCAGAGCATAATATTAGCCCGTGTGTGGTAAGCATACTTGCTTTAGGAATAATAAGTTGGACTTGGGCCTCTCACCACGATGTGTTTTACAATGAAGAAAAATATACGTCTTATGGTACAAAACATAATACTAATGTATTCTTTTTAGCAAGGACAAGGAAAAGAAAATTCACTTGGTATGAAAATTGTTGTGGTGGTTAGTCAAAACTCAAAATCAAGGTGGTTAGGTGATTTCTATCTGTCTTGATTCAGCCTCCATTTGAATTATCTGCTGCAAATCTTTTCAACCTTGAAAGTTGAAAGGCCCACATGTTCCTCTTTCATATGTGAACAAGTGTGAACGCTTAGCTCATTGACTATGTCCTATATCTTTTGTTTTCTGGTTTTTATTATGTAGTTATAAATCTGACTTCCTGACAAGTCATAAATTTTAAAAAAAGAAGGTAATTTTTCGGTTAATTTGAAGAAAAGGATTGCCAACTATAAGTGTTGTACATCGATTGTTAACATGTTATTGTCATCACAAGTTTTTCATCAATGGAATTCACACAGATTCTAGTAAAATACTCTGATATTGGGGAAAGAATATCGGGTAGTTTATTGATTTTGTCCTTTATAGGGTAATAAAAATATTGATTATACTCCATGGCGTGAAAATTTTAGTATTATTTTCCCATATTGTATATGTAGTCCATCTCAAGATTTAATATTTTCTGCTAACGGAAGTAGACCTAGAAAAAAAGGGGCTTGAAATCAAAGGTCGAATGTTGTCATCTTGGTCAGCGTATTCTTCACTTAATCACTTCTGCCCTTCTCTTCTTTTCTTTTTAATATTTGATCTACAAAAACTACGGAAAAAATTTGTATTATTCTATCTAATTTTTTACAAAAGAATTTTGTATTGTTTTTCTCTATATTGTTTTTTTGGTTCCATGGGGATTCGTCAAAACAACTTACATAGGCTCTCAACTATCAAAATTGACTTATTCAGCTCAAACCTGTGGCGACTTTTGGTAGTTTATGAGATAAGTCCACATTCTTCAAGTTCTCTCTATCATGCCCCTTATTTTAAAGTATTCACTTTGTCAAAGTAAAACTATTCGATACACACATCTAGTGAGCAAGAAGTAATACATGACTAGTTTTGCTAAATAATTTGTTTCATTCCATACTACTCATTACTTTATAACTAGCCAGCTTCACTCTTTATTAAAAC